GCATCTCAACGCAGTAGAGGATAGTAAACATACTGAGGTGTGGCCAATGCAGTTATGGGGACCGAGAATCCGCTGGGATAAGTGGACACCGTTGGGGTGCCCTCTGCTGTTAGCAGGAGCGTCACTTGCCCTAACAATCAAAAAGGTTGCTGAGGGCTGAGGATGTGGAAAGCAAGGAAAAACTATCCCAAGAACTTATCATGGAAGAATAGGGGCTTTTGAGCTGAAATACTATAGAAAGATTCTCAGAATATCTTGGACAAAGAAGAGGAGAATTACTGACATCTTGAAAGATCTGAACATCAAGGAAGATTATCTAATAAACAGCATCCTGTCTCGGAAGCTGAAATATTTTGGTAATATTAAGCACCATGACGGATTGGAAAAAATACTAGCAGAAGGAATGGTACCAGGAAGGAGGGGCAGGGGCCGACCAACATGAAGATGGGAACAGGATATAAGTGACTCCTTGAGTATGAAAGTGCATGAGGCGGTAAAGCTGGTGAGAGACTGTGCTTCTTTCAGGCAGACTGTGATGAGAGTGACGTTCTGCAAAGGATCTGCTACATGATGATGATGACCCACAGAGTCTAAATATAGGTCTAACCCTATATGCCCAATATGCCTAAAAGCTTGTAAAATGGTTCTTTATATTAAGTAATAAAGATTAAGTAATTCTCTTTAAAAAATTTGCATACAATATATCATGGTTATGGAAAGAACACATGTATCAGAAATGATTGACAGCATCTGTGACAGAAGGATAAGGACAAACATGATTACAACAAAGCATAAACTATAAGTGGTGTAGCAGCTAGATGCTCATCTGCAAATCAGAAGGTCGTGGGTTTGCTTTCTGGACGGTCGGCCCCCTGATACCACTGTCGAAACCAACACAAGGTGCATGGCCCACAGCTGGGATCGAACCTGGCACCCCGACATTACGAAGCGTTTGCATTGACTTAGCCACAGAGCCAACAATGGCAAACTACTGGACGCAAATTTGCCTAGAGAAGCCACACAACAGCCAGGGGCTGTTGGGGTTGGTTCTGCAAAGTCCTGTAAAGGATAAGCAATAACCTTTTATAAATAAGAGAGTTGTTCTGTGATACTTGATGTTTAGGAAGTAATATGCTGTCCAACCTGGGTAGATGTTTTTCTTCTTCTTCACATTCACCAGCTATAAACCTGAGTTTCTGTGATGAGAGTTGAGTTTTAACCTCTGTGAGCCATGGTCCATCATACCCCCCTCTTAAGTTGCAGAAAAAATGTATCAATGCAAACAGAAAACATACTTACAAGTGAAATCAAGGAATAACACAGGAGTATGATTTTCCATATTTGGTGGCGGAGTCCTGCATTAAAAAACGGAATTTTTTTTTTAAAATTCCATAAATTACACATTATAAAACAAATGAGACCTAACTCTTTCAGTCCAAACAACACACCATGTGTGACTGGATTTACTCATACGTACCAGTTAACATCGACTGTGGCTTAGGCATTATGAGCGTGCTTCATAATGCCAGGTTGCTGGGTTACGATCCCAGCTGGGTACGGTTGTCAATGTTTATTCATTCAAACAGCTATTTTCTTGGCCAGTGCACATAAAGGTAAAACAGACTAAGGTGGCCAAGCTTGGCCACTTGACACAGCATCAATTGATATAATCAAACAAAGTTACCTGTACAGAATAATTTTTCAGAACATTTCATATAGACACGTTGACATTTCCAATCATCCACTTTGACAGCAGACAATGACACCCAGGCTTGACAAGATGTCAGATTGACAGGGTAGCCAGGTTTTCACGAAGCTCACAGTCAACTCGGGTACAGGCATTCACTTGCGATTAGATCTGTTCAGTATTCAATCTCTCAGCACCATCAACCACACCACTCCAGAATCGAAAACGAGACTCAAAAACAAGTCTGATCATATCGATCATTCCAAGCTTAAATAATCTTAAAATGGATATACATAGAAAACTAAAATACTGGAACATAACCTAAGTCCAGAACTGGATGAACAACCAGAATTTTTTACTGGAGTTAACAGCTGGTTAAAATGAAGAAAAAGGAGAAAAAAAAAAAAAGCTGCAAACAGATACAATTATGTCTAAAAAAAAAAAAAAAAGTATTGTATGAAAATAGAAGAAGAAGTTACAAAAGACTAATATCATTAGTTTTGTTGTGAAAAAACTACATAAAACCAGTATCAATATTTTATTTGTGAAGAGGCTACATAAGGCTTTATCATTAATACACTTGTGAAAAAGCTACACAAGACTAGTATCATTAGTTTATTCGTGAAGAGGCAATATAAGACTAGTATCATTAGGTTTGTGAAGAAGCTACACAAGACTAGTATCATTAGTTTATTCGTGAAGAGGCAATATACGACTAGTATCATTAGGTTTATGAAGAAGCTACACAAGACTAGTATCATTAGTTTATTCGTGAAGAGGCAACATGAGACTAGTATCATTAGGTTTGTGAAGAAGCTACACAAGACTCGTATCATTAGTTTATTTGTGAAGAGGCAACATGAGACTAGTATCATTAGGTTTATGAAGAAGCTACACAAGACTCGTATCATTAGTTTAGTTGTGAAGAGGCAATTTAAGACTAGTATCATTAGGTTTATGAAGAAGCTACACAAGACTCGTATCATTAGTTTATTTGTGAAGAGGCAATATAAGACTAGTATCATTAGGTTTGTGAAGAAGCTACACAAGACTCGTATCATTAGTTTAGTTGTGAAGAGGACTAATCATTAGGTTTATGAAGAAGCTACACAAGACTCGTATCATTAGTTTATTTGTGAAGAGGCAACATGAGACTAGTATCATTAGGTTTATGAAGAAGCTACACAAGACTCGTATCATTAGTTTAGTTGTGAAGAGGCAATATAAGACTAGTATCATTAGGTTTATGAAGAAGCTACACAAGACTAGTATCATTAGTTTATTTGTGAAGAGGCAATATAAGACTAGTATCGTTAGGTTTATGAAGAAGCTACACAAGACTCGTATCATTGGTTTAACTGTGTGAATGCTACATAAGACTAGTATAATTAGTTTAGGTGTGTAGAAGCATAAAACTTACCAGCTGGCAGACGCACCAGGAATGTTGCTCCCAGGGGAGGGAAACAAAACAGAATTGTGCTCTTGCATTAAACATATCCGCTGTCTGATTAACTCTCTCTCCCTTTCAATTTCAATGTCAGATTTATCTGTTGATATTTATCACATTAAATGATACTTTTTATTTGTTAAATGATCATATCTATTGATTAAACAATCACATTTATGTGCTAAACAAACTTTTGTTGAGTTGAATAATGACATATATTTGTTAAAACAACCCTTAACCTTGATTTATCAAACAAATTCATTTATTCCTTAAACAATCAAATTTATTTCTTAAATAATCAAATTTATTTGTTAAACAACGACATTTATAAATCAAATACCCTGATTTATTTCTTAAACTCCCAGTGTGGGTTTCGGGAGCCCTATTGTGAGAAAAACAAGAATAGACCCACTGTCTGCCTGAAAGCATGTCCTAAGAGTCGACTAAATGGGAGCTTAGTACAAAATCAGAGTACATCTGCCTGAGAGGCAAGGTACCAACAGTATGTATGCAAATGAGTGAGACTGGTGAAATGAATGTGCACGCACCACCCAGTTTCTGGAACAGGACTAGAGCCCAGAAGTCGACAAACAACCAGAACTTTTCACCTTTTACAGCCTGTGAACGCAAAGAGGAAAGAAGAATAAAATTTCTTATACAATCACATTTATGTGTTGAATGATATTTATTATATAACATCATTTATTTCTGAAACACCCACATTTATGTACTTTTTTTATGATCAATATTACTGCACATCTGTCATTCTTGTGTTTGCGCAATCCTTCGCTGCAGCAGCCATGCGAAGGTAACACAACTGACTTGTTTCTATATAAAGTGGATTTTAATATCTCCTTCGTGACCTCAGAGAGGCATAGACCTGCTTTTCCAGACTTTACTTGCATGTCGTGTAGTCAGGTTAGCACCATAAATCATCAATATTTACCAGTCTAGTGCATAAAATGATGATTATATCATCACTATGCCAGGCTCTTCTCTCTTGTATTAATGCATTGTTTGCAACTAATGGAAAACATGTCTGCAAACGGTTTAGAAGCTCCAACTAGAAAATGGAAAATAGCTAGTGAACTAAAAATACCTTATAATTAAGAAATTACTAAGACCACAACTTGTAATAGCTTATTTGACTGTAGCAGAAGACATCTGTTCTAAATGTCAGGTACATATTAATACTAACATTATTTACTACATTGCAGGAAATATGAACTCCAAAGTCTCCCCTTAATTTTAATGATTGCACACTATGATTCTCATAATTGTTTGAAAAGAACACTTAAAGTATATTAAACTAAATCAATCTATACCCTTAGAATCTGTTACAATTAATAGAATTGTTCCTAAGTCAATCTTTCCTTATCATAATAGGTAAACGTTGCATTTCTGTCATGACTAATTTTTTTCTGTCTTCTGAAGGGGTTCATGATAGCATTTATTTAAAAACAAAACAAAAACTCCCAACTTCAGAAGCAGTCCTTTTTAAAACATTCTAATATTTATACATTCTTCTTCTTCTTCTTCTTCGCGTTCACCAGCTGTAAACTCTGGCGGAAGGTTCTGGTTGCTCGTCCACTGCAGTCCTGCTCCAGAACCTGAAAGTTGCGTGTGCATCAGTTTTACAGATCTCATTCTCTTGAATACAAACTGTTGGTTCCTTGCAGATGCACTCCGACTTCAAAGGAAGCTCCCCAATTAGTCGACTCTTACGACATGCTTTTGGGGAGGCAATGGGTTCATTCTTGTTTTCCCCACAATGGGGCCCTGGAACCCACACGGGGGTATACATTATTATAATGAATGAATGAATAATTTCAAGAATAAAAAATATAAGAAAACAAGCTGTCATACCTCTCTTTTTAGTCAGCATCTGAATTTGCTCATCAAAATATTTCTTACGCCTGATTAAAGCCTTCAACCAATGGTCTCTGAGCACAGCAAGATCTTCTTTTTGATAAGAATCCAAACCTTTCTGATGGCATGACTTCACACAGATGCAGCCAATAGCAACACCAGTAATTGATTCACAAATAAGTGGAAGTGTTCCTGAGTTTGCCACAGGACAAATACGCACAAGAACTTGCCGTGAACTGCCCTGGAAGATGTCAATATTTCATTTTTATGAAATTAATAAACTCTGAATTTCTGTAAGGTCTTCACAGATAATTCTGACCAAAAACTGTCACGAAGTTATCTGACATGTAAGTGCACTGTTTCTTACTCTCAGAAATTCTCCTTAACTGTACTTCTTAGTTAGTTAGTTATTTGACAGATTAATTATTAATTGATATTCTCCTAGTAGTGTCGGTGTGTTGGGAAATGAGCAGGCGGATTGACTGGCTGGTTCTGCAACACTTGGTGGTGACCTGATGTATGACAAGCTGGATGTTGTGAGGGGCCTTTAGGAGCAAGTGAACATTGCCGAGGCACAGATAGGTCATTACGGTCTGAAAAGAATGGTGCTGGGAGGGGTTACAAGGGAATCTGGATGACGTCTGACACTCAAGGAAAGGGTGAGATGGATATACAATCAGACAGCCAGACAGATATGTGATTTCTCTCAGTAACACTTCATTTAAGTGATTTTGTGAATTCTTGTTCATATCTTTTTCATCTCATCTCGATACTCTGATATCTTGTGGTGTCAAGATGAAGTATAATTTACAGGTGAGTGCCCATTTATGTGTTTTGTAAATGGAGATTGCCAGAGACTCAGTTATTCCCTCTGTCCATCATTTGCATGGTCGGCCTCTTCTTTGCTTCCCATCTGGTCTGTACATCATTACTTGCTGTAGTATACAGTTTGTTGGCATCTGCATTGTATGGCCAAACCATTTCACTTGTTTTTTTCGAATAAAATCCAAAATCTTGTTATATTAACAGCCCTTCACAGGAATCTCATTTCATTGTTGTAATTGTTCTTTTATTTTTTCTTCTGTCATTATCCACATCTGGCATTGATAACACAGGGTGTTCAGGTTTATGGTATTGTATATTCATGTAATGTGCTGATGAAGGCTCTCTAACTGCAACGTTCACTTGTCCTTTTGTGTTTGTGATAATGTGAAGCTGACTGATTGTACTTTTCATTTGGTTTGACATCTTTTCATGAACCTGATATTATGGCACTATAAAACTGCATTCATAACCCTGCACTACAGATGTATGTTAGTTAACCCAGTAAGACTCTAAGAGTGCTAGCTAATCTTAATTCCACTGTGAGGTGGGAGGGGAGGGGCATTTGTGTGTGTGTTGGGAATAGGCCAACTGCACCCTAACAAGCACAACAGGCAACTAATTAGGAGCTTACTGAAATCTGAAACTGAGTATTGAGTTTATAACTAATATGACAGCACTCAGGACATTCCTGTAAGTGCTCCAACTTCATCTTCATCTTCCAGCAAAAAGTTCCAATTCTGAGCATGCCAGTAGCAGTTTGTTTATAGATCTATCTTGTCTTTCCTCTACGTTTAGAGTGTCAACCAAATCCCCGGGTCACTCCTAGCTGTACCATTCTCTCTAGATGATAATAACCTATTCTTGCCTCCGCACTGTTCACTTGCTCCCAGAGAAGCTTGGCATATTTAGCTTGTCATGCATCAATTCATCACAAATTGGTGCAAAACCAGCCAGTCTGTCTACCAATCTGAAATCAAATGTGCTTCATTGTAAGGTGCAGATATTGCAGTCAAGCTGTAAACCACAACACAGCATGCTAGCCTCTCTTTTAAGGGGTGAGTGCAGAAAAAGAAGCTACTCTAAAGTATACACACTTTGGAAAAGGAAGAGTTAAATAACTTCCTGGGACTGAACAGCTCTTCTTCTCATCGCCTGTGCAGTGTGGTATTGGTAGTCATGTCTATCCTTCTATCTGGGGTGCTTTCTATCAGTTCTGACACAGAGAATCTTCCATGCCCTGATCTCAAACAGTCCAGCATCTTTCCTCTATGTCTCCCTTCACCTCTTTTCCCCTCCAGCTTTCCCAAAACCATGATGTACTTTAAGTTTTCTTTTTTCTCATGATATGACCAAAGAATAAAGGTTGTCTCCTTCTGATGTGGGCAATCAGTTCTTCTCATGAGTCCTTTTTATTTCAAGAAATCCTCATTACTCATTTTTCTTTATCAGGATATTCTGATCATTTGTCTATTAAAACAAAACAAAAAACCCACATCTCCACAGCTTCCAAATAGTTTTTTACCAATCGACCAACTATCTATGCAAATCTCCTCACAGTACAAACTATTCCCAATTCCATAGCGTTTTTTGGGCACTTTTTGTGTAGGGAGTTATGGGGGGGGGGGGGGGGGGGATGGACCCACGGCCTCCTAACAAACATGTTATAATGGGCAACTAATTAGGGGGTTTACTGATATCAGACGTGCCGTAAAGCCATAACACAACATGCTAACCTCTCTTTTAAAGGATGAACGCAGAAGAAGAAGCTACTCAAGAGCACACTCACTTTGGAACAGAAAGTGCCAAGTAACCTCCTGGAAGCTGTTAATGGCAGATAAAACAAGTTCCATTCCTTTACCTTTATGTAAAAGGTTGATGAAAGTAAACATGAAATACCTCTCTAAGATGAATGACGCCAGCACATGGTACATCTGACTTTGGTGTCACCTCCACTGCACTGTAGACACCTTGATTATTACTTTCATGAATTTCAGCCCACAATTCAATCTTTTTCACTACATCAAGCCACCTAGGGAAAATATGTAAGTGTAGGAGAATATCATAATAACAGTGAAGAATGGTAAGAGAGAAAGAGAGAGGAGGAAAAACAACATTCCTAACTTGTTTAAATGACCATTACTTACCAGCATTACGAGGGCTTATAGATTGTGATAGCTGGGGTGTATGGAGAGAATGGAAGTCAACATATGGATACAAACTGCATACACAAAATATTTGACTGGGAGTGGACCATGAGGTAGAATATGAAGATGGTGGATAGATAATACCCAGGCAGACCTACAAGCAGACGGAGTGTGAAGGCACAAGTAGATCTTCACAGTCTTAGGAAAATAGTGCGGTGAGGCGTGACCAGGGGATCTGGGCGACGCTCAACACTGAAGGCAAAGGTGAGATGGAAATCCAGTCAAATAGTTAATGATCGGAATTAGAACTATGTGCTTGCTGCTGAAGATGTGGATGGAAAGGCTATGGGAATGTTCTGAATGCTGTGATGTCGATTATTAATTCAATGTTCAACAATTGAAAAGAGAAAACCAATCACAGAGATAATTGGAGATTGGTGATGTCTGCAGCAATGAAACTCAGGAGCTCAAAATGAGAAGAAGGAGAAGGAGGATAAGAAGATAAAGAAGAATGTTAATTACACATGCTGTGGTGATGGACTGAACGGTATCCATAATCTTGGAAATACTGTGCATGGTATCATGGAAAGGAGGAATAGACTGCAGTCCCTTGTGACACATAAACAGCACAAGTTGATGACAGTGACGATGTCACAGGCAACAACTTACTGATTAGTCATATGTTTTGTTTTCAGATGGGTTGTTTCAGATGTTACCAAATCCATGTCATGTTGCTTTCTTCTGTGTCCCCAAACCTCAACAGAGAGAGCTCCATGCAAGCAGTACTCTGTAAATGCTTTCGAAACAGGAACCTGCATATACTGAAAGTAAATCATAAACAAATATGAAAGACAAAATGGAAAATGTTAAGGTTTTATTCTTACCTTGTATAATAAATATCATAAGTACGCCACATTTTTATAGATCAAATGGCAAATGATGAGTGATGTTTAAGTTATGGCATCAACCTTTACTTCCAGGGCATTTTTTTTTTTTACATTTATTTTAGACTGGATTACTTCTCAAACTAAGGCCCAAACATCTGAACAGAATAGACCATATCACAGTTTTTTCGCCTTTGCACTGGTCACTGCAGACTCAACAAACACTCGTATAAATCAGGTATGAGCGGAACGGGGTCTTCATGCAGAACAGACTCTAAAACATGTCTTTGAAGACTGTTCTCTTTTGGCGGATGATGAACTTTGGGGAAACCTAAGAGACCTTGAGATGACATCCCATTTTATGGTCTACAGAGGATTAGGTGCATGACCAGAGATGGTTGAAGAAGAAGAAGTGGAACATTTTATAAATTCTTCCCTCATTGGGGTTCTAACGCTTTACCATCGGGCTAGCAGGCAAGCATGCTAGCCACTCTACCAAATCTTTGTGTCCCAAACAATGCATTATGGGTGACTGAGTATTATTCACATGTACCAGTCAACATCTCATGTATGTCTTTACATCTTATGTTTAGTGAGGGACTCTGAAGAATTATGACAACATATTTGTTTCTTATAAGGGTTGTACATTTGGCCCCTTGGAAGTACCATACCCATAAGTTGAGTATTATCTTTTCTTAGTTCCCTCAGACATTAGAGAAGACCTCATGGAAAGAGTTAACAGTCCGCAGCCTATTAATAGAGATAGACAAACACAGGTTAGGCATTATGAACACGCTTCATAATTCTTAAGTATGTGGTTTGCTTCCAGCTTCAGTTGATTTTACCGCAGACCAGCTTGTGTTATTTCAACAGTGCTACAGAACTTTGACCATTCAGACAGCATTGGCAAACTACTTAACATAAAATTATCTAGTAAAAAAAAAAAAAAAGTTATGTGCCTGGGTTATTCTGGAATGTCCTGAACAGGTTACACAACAAGTTTTACTTTTTATTTTTATTTTATAAACAATAGATTTAACATGACTCAGATAAATATGAATTTAGTATAGAGTACTGAAAAGAATTAATCTAATAATTAACACCTGCATAAATTAAATCGGTCATCATCATCAGGGTTCACTTTTGCAATTAAGCATTATGGAGAGAGCAGTCTGAAGTCCATTGCTTGATGGGTAGCAATGGCTATCTGCCTTTCATGTTATTAGTTTACATTTTCTATTTAATGTCATCAATCCATTGTCTCCTAGGGCAACCTCTTGCTTTCACATCACATTATTCCATGTTTAATGCCTCTGTTGACAGTTGTTCTGGCTGCATTCTAATAAGATGACCAAACCATTTGATCTTCTATTTAGATCAGGTTAGTT